CACATATGAACATGCTTTTGGAATCTTAAACTTTGGAATTTCCTGTCTAATGTTTATCAAAACTCCTAAGTTTAAATTTGCTTTGATACGTTTTCGGTTGAATTCTTTTGAGCAAAGAGAAAGGTTTTTCTTTAAGGAGTAAAAATAATTGTGAAGTTCTGTAAATTTGTTTTCTACCATATTCAAAGCAGTATATCGTAGAACGGTTTTAGCTGTTGAATTTATTGTAAGAAACACTTACATTTAGCCAAAATGATGGGAATTAAATATTCTCTTAATAGGTGAATGAAGACAGTTTGGAGCTATTAGGAAAAGCTTGAGGAAACTTTGTATGTAAAAGATACAGGCTTGCTTCTGGTGATGAAAGAGCTAAAGGAAAAGTGACTGTGGAAAAAGGCTTGCGTGTGGAAGTGGGGCTAGATGGTGTCCCTTCTAGCTCCAAGGGGGGCGAATGTGTGAATCGCTAGTTGCGCGTAGCCGGCATGTACAGGCATCTTCAAGCTCCTCCCGCCCCCGCCAGCCCACAAACCTGCAGTGTGCACTTGTTATGCTTTGACTCCATATTTCACTTAAAGGCAGTGAAATGTATTCATGATAGATGGTAGAACTTTGGAAAATAAAACAGCGAAATTCAACCCTCCTGGGGCCTACAGGCTGCGACCCTACCACCTTGTTGTGGTCCTTCTCCCTTCCCACGTCTCCCTTGTCTTCTTTACCCACGGAAATTCCGTGGTCCATTATCATCACACATACACACACACACACACACACACACACACACACACACCCTACCTCAGCACGCGCACACACACACACACCCTACCTCAGCACACACACACACACACACACACACACACACACCCTACCTCAGCACACACACACACCACACCCTACCTCACCGTACTCGGAAACCCGCTCCCGTTAAGTCCGTTCCTTGTCCATGGGTGTCGCTGACAGCCTACAGTGGACCCGAATGCCCACGGTCGTGGTACTGGTGTCTGACCCCCTCTCTGCTCAGTGGCTACTTGGTGCCCGCCCCTCCTCCCCTCCCCAGTGCACCACGTGCACCCTTCCACTCAATGCAAAGGCATCTGTTTTCTCAGAGAGATTGGAAGAAATTAGAAGAGGACTTCCCGAAATTCCCACCACACATCTCCCTGTGTGTCTGGATCTGTGCCTACGTATTCGACTGCCTTTCCCCTGACTGTGGGTGAACTGGGCACCCCCGGGAAAGGCACCCTCTGCACGGACCCAGCTGACTGACCTGCTCTCGGCTGCTCGGGTAGTGGCCATTGGCTCCCACCTCTCCTCTGGACTCTGGCCGTCCGCGTGCGAGCCCCCGTCCCCCGCTGCGGCAGGGGGACCCTGTGTCTCCTTCAGCCACTGCCCTAGTTCTCTTCTCCTCTTAACTCAAAGTCCCTCGGAAGAATGAGAGTGTGCCTACCGCCGTCCTCCTCCCGTCCTCTGTTGCCCTCTGTCCGCCCAGGCTTTCGGCCCTGCCAGGGCTCCCGACCTGCTATGGTCATGGCCACCGCTGGCCTCCATTTCAGCAGACCCGCCCACCAGGGGCCAGTCAGATGACTCCCAGCAGCTGTTGACCCTGGTGACCATTGCTTCTGGAGCACTGGACTCCGAGGTGCTCCCCTTCCCTCCTGGCCCCCCGCGGCTGCCCTTGCTGACGCCTCTCATTTCCAAGCTGTCCAGCGTTGGCTTCTCACAGGGTTCAGGCCTCATCTTTTATCGCCCACACTCAGTGCCATGAGATCACTCTCCCACCTCGGCCAGCATCCCCGAGAAGTCCAGACCGGGAGGTGCAGCTCCACTTGAATGCCTTAGAACCTCTCCAATTAAGCTTGTCTGAAACTGGACTTTTAGGCCTCCCTTCAAAGCCTGCTCTTCCCGTAGACATTCCCTTCTCAGAGAATGGGGCCTCCATCCTTCCCTCGCTCCTGCCAGAATCCTTGGAATCGTCCTGGACCCTTACTTCTCTCAGATTTGTTGGACCTGTCGGCAAATCCTGCTGGCTCTACTCTCGAGCGCGCCCTGCCCCCCCACCCGCCGCGGTGTGCTCACTCGCCTGGCCTCTCCTGCACTTCCCCAACGCCAGGCTGCCTCCCCACTTCTGGCCTCACCCTCTTACAGGCTCTTCTGAGCACAGCGTCCAGAGGACCCTTTGAAAGCTGATGACGGCCACAGCAGGGGGCACAGGGGATCCTTGCATTTCGCCCTGAGAATTCTTCTATGTTCTGCGTCTCTCTAGTCTTGGTCTCGGGTCAGACCCTCACTTCTCCCCGGGGTTCTTGCTGTGGCCTCAGCTGTCTTCTCACTCTTAACCTCCTCCAGCCCAGCTTCGGCCCTGCTCCCAGGGACTTTTGCTTACCCAGCAAACCCATTTTGAGCAGCACATCCTTTGTGTCAGGCACTGCCTGGAACTTTGAACAGCTTGGCCCCTTCCCTGTTCAGGGCCCCCAAAGTCTGTAAATAAGACAGCTCCCAGAGCCTTCAGGATGAAGCACAGACTCCTTACGGGGTCCGCGGGACCTTAGTCTAGCCTCTGCCCACCTCCAGCCTCACCTTACTCCTGCCTGCGGATGCCCTTCTCCAACTTCAGTGCTGCACTTTCGTGACGAGGCTCTTGCCAGCTGGACAGCTGGGTCCTGCTTGCCATTCAGTGCAGGGGCCATCCCGGCAGCAAACCTCCCATCAGAGGTGGCTTCTGCTCTGCTCCCACGGTGGCCTGGGTGACTCTCATGCAGAGCACGGGGGTCGTTGCTCGCTTGCCTGTCTGTGCTGTCGGAGCGCCCGGGGAGCGGCCAGGCTCACCTCCTGGCGCTCAGCCAGACCAGGTGTGCAGCCGTTTCTCGGATGCATTGTGACTTCCAGTTAGGACGGCAGCATAAACTCATGCTTTGACATGTGTCTTCTCCAGACCCAGCAGCGGAAAGGTAAATTTAAACAGAGAAACATAAACCAGAAAATATGGCCAGGCCCCCAAAAGAGGAAGATACCCTTAAGGATAGAAGCGGGACACCCAGTGTGGGGAGCCTGAGCTGGCTTGACGCCCTGGCCTGCGGTGCTCCAGGCCCTGAGCCGGTGGAGGCACAGGAGACGTGGCTCCCGTGGGTTACGGTGATAGGATCCAAAGCGTTGAGGCGAATTAGAACTAGATTCAGACTCACTTTCTGAAGCTGGGGTTGGCCTCAGTGTATAGCGGCCAACTGCCCTCTGTACATTGGGGCTTTATAGGAAGTTGTGGGCCCGGGGAGGGTAGAAAGCAATACCTGGAAGGCATGGCCCTGTCTGGTGGTTGGTTCTCTAAGAGGATCTGCACTGTCTGTAATGGAAGCAGGCAGCAGGGGCCCTCGGTCACCATGGAAACGTAGTTCTGGCCTGAGGCCTTGGGAGGCCCAGAGGGGCAACCACAGGACCTAGGCTGGGTGGGGGGAGGTCGGCACCAACAACATCACCTCCTACTCGAGGGGAGCTGGAACCCAGGTCCCACGACACGAAGATCTCACACTGAGAGACCCTCCCAGAGCCCGCTCCTTACGCAGCCGTGCCTTTACTCCGTGTGAGATTCGCGGATGGGGCCTGGCAAAACCGCCAGAGAAGTGTGCTTCAGATGCTTCAGACCTGAGCTAACATCCATGAAGAGCAACTAGAAATCACAGGACAAGAAGAGACAAAAATGAAACAAGAGCGGGAGGGCCTGGCCGAGAAACAACTTGAAATCCAGCCAGTGAGAAACACGTTAGGACGATGAACTGTGGACTGGGCATAATCAAAGACATTTAGTGACAGGCATTTTCTTCATGAAACTGTGACTCAGACTGCAGTGCAGAGGGGGACAGTGTGATCAAAGAAAAATCCAGGGCCCTGAATTCAGACGACCTTAGAGCCAGCCCTGCCTTTGACCCTCCCGAGTAGTAACTGCCTCTCAGCCTAGGCTAGTCTGAGTCAGGCTTTCTCTCACCTGTAGCGGGAAGAGTGCTTCTCATACAGGATCTTAGTAATTAGATGGAAACCTCTCCCTGATGTTAGACATTAGATGACCCGACAGTCAGCTAGTTATTTACCAGAGGAATCAGGTAGTCAGTGTAATTAACACGGGCACATCTGAAAGAAATCTCAGACACTCAGGAAGGGAAACGAGCTTGCTGCGAGGACAGGGAGAGCAGACGTTGTCCACGTGGCTGCCCCGCCCTTCCTGCCTCCCAGCCATAAAGCCCAGTGCTGATGCTGCCGGCCAGGTCTCTGAAGATGTATCTTCAGAATCTGGGTCAGGTTTGAAGACACATTGGATTATTTCTCTCCAGCGTTACTGGGATGTCTTCGTGTTTGCAGGTCTGCGCTGAAGTACTGAAGTAAAGAGTCGTTCACATCCTGTAGCTGATTGATGCTCTCTGGAGAGCATCGTGTATATGTGCGCGCGCGCGCACCTGTGTAAATTGTGGTGCAATATATACAACATAAATTTACCATTTTCACCAGTTTATTGACTGTCTGGATGACTTCAGTGGGCTCAGGCTAACAGACTGGCCTTGGGGTACCATTAGCCTTTTTCCCGGGGGACACTCCAAAGCCTGTTGCCTTCTAGACCTTTTTTCTTTACTCTCCCCAGTGGTTCTAGGTCACATGCCTGTGAGTCATTTTAAAATATCTTTATCCACTTCGGTATTAGGATTTATGTTCAGGAGAATATCTCGGACTTCCCCGGGTCTTGAGAAGGCAGGCTTGGATTCCCTTCCCCGCCGTGTGCGTGCCAGGGTCGGGGGTGGAGGGGTGAAAGTCGGTCGGAGTTATGGTGTCCTGTGTGGTCTTGGGCTGCTCGGTGGACCCCTCATTCTCTGGAGGGTCAGAGAGGTCCCGCTTATCCCAGGGCGGGAGTTGTCTTTGTGTGAAGCCTGGAGAGGCTTGACGGGAATTGGTCTTTAGAGACACTCTCTCGCTCTCTTTTGTATTTATACTTATATCTATTTACTTATTTAACTGTTTTCTAGGAGTTTGCAGCACTTACTAAAGAACTAAATGTATGCAGGGAACAGCTCCTCGAAAGAGAAGAAGAAATTGCTGAACTGAAAGCGGAAAGGAACAACACCAGGGTCAGTAGGGGATTCTCTGTGTTAACGTTTGCCTCGGGGTCACGACTGGGCTCCGTGTTGCTGTCTTTAAACTCAAAAGATGACCCACTCTGTGTGTTTTTACACACATTTCCGACATTTTCCCACTGAGTGGACTGGAGTTGATCAGTTCAGGGTTCTCATACCTTGCTTGAAATTTATCATGAGAGTTAATGCGATTTTAATATATTCGAGGGGGAATTTCTCTAACTTTATTTATTTATTATTTTTTGGCCACGCCGCACGGCAAGCGGGGGCGGGTCTTAGTTCCCTGAACAGGGATCGAACCCACGCTCCCTGCAGTGGAAGCGCTGAGTCGTAACCCCTGGACGGCCAGGGAAGTTCTCTCTGACTTTAGACAGAACCAGAGGGATTCAGACCTGTCTTCGCACGGTTTTGGCTTTAGTGTGAGATTGAAAGGAGTTATTTGCCCCAGATTCAAATATGAGATTGAAAGTGCTCTGTAAACCGTGCTCACCTTGGCCTTGCCCTGCAGCTGCTGCTGGAACATCTGGAGTGTCTGGTCTCGCGGCACGAGCGGTCCCTCAGGATGACGGTGGTGAAGCGGCAGGCGCAGTCCCCGGCAGGCGTGTCCAGCGAGGTGGAAGTGCTTAAAGCGCTGAAGTCGTTATTCGAGCACCACAAAGCCCTGGATGAGAAGGTACCGCCGCCACACGGCAGTTCCGGGTTTGTACACGTGCTGCGTCATTTGGCGGACAACGCAGGTGTTTGTGCAACTTTAGTTGACTTTTGAGCTTCTTGAATTCTTGTAAACACAGTTTTTCTGTAAGAAGCCAGAGTTCTATATGGTTAAAAAGTATTAGTTGGCATAAATGTCTCAAGATTTATTATATCCTGTGTATCAACTGGCTATTAGGAATTGGGTAATAGAATTTATTAAGGGTGAAATTTTAAAGCTATTAGCTTTCTTGACGTTAAGATCAACGAAAGACATTAAAGGTATTCTATTATGTTATATTACACTAATAGTCTACTAGGATAGCTATGCAATAAGAATTGAATTAACATATATACACATATACACACACACACACTAACTGAATCCCTTTTGTTTTCAGGTGAGAGAACGGTTACGAGTAGCACTTGAAAGGTGTAGTTTGTTAGAAGAAGAATTAGGTGCCACACATAAAGAGGTAAGCTTGATAAATCGTCATACAGTTTCAACTGAGGGTTCCTAATTCTTAATCCCTTCATTTTAAAAAAGTATGAAGACTGTAGTAGTAGATATCAGATGTTATTTATCTTCCTGATTGAGGACCAGCCCATCTGGATCATTTTAACGATTAGTAAACTAGACTTTTATTTCAGAGTTGCAGAATCTCTTAAGTACCCATGTCTCCAGTAGAAGGTAAATTCTGACTTTAATGACCTGGTTATATTCAGGATGGATAACATCACCATGTGTTTTCTTTTCAGTTGTGTTTTTCCAAATGGAGTTTTGCTGCCTTATTTCTTTACTCTCATTCAATTGTTTGCTTTTAGCTAATGATTCTTAAAGAACAGAATAACCAGAAAAAGACACTAACGGACGGGGTGCTTGACATAAACCATGAGCAAGAGAACACGCCGAGCACGAACGGAAAGGCAAGTCCCTGGTCCCCTCTGTCTGGTTCTCGTCCCACCCGTCCAGTCTGTGCACGCGTGTTGGGAACCTGTCGCCAACGCGCCACTTCGGCCCGAGTGGCCGTGAGAGTCGTGTGAACCCACAGCGTGCAGAAGGCAGCTTTGACCTTACCGACTTCCCAGAAGTGCTTTATTTCCTCCCTCAGCAAACAAGGCTGTTTAAGGGTCCTTTCCCCCCATTAGAGATCTTCTGATGGTTCTCTGAGCCACGAGGAAGACCTGGCTAAAGTGATTGAGCTCCAGGAAGTCATAGACAAGCAGTCAAGGGAGCAGAGCCAGATGAAGGAGCGCCTGGCCGCCCTGTCCAGTCACGTGACAGAGCTGGAGGAAGATCTGGACACGGCCAGGAAAGACCTCATCAAATCTGAGGAAGTGAACACAAAGTTGCAACGGGATGTCCGTGAAGTGAGTGACAGTCGCCATGTCAGTGTTGTCATGGGGTTGAACGTGTGGACTGTTGTGGTTTGATTGTCACTTATTCTCCCAGTTTCTTCAACCTTGGGGTGACTGTATGAGTAAGAGCAAAACAGAACAGAGCCCTGAGGCTTTGACTGGCGGCTTCCCCGTTTTTGTGTCAAGGTCTTTAAAGGTAGGGGAGGCCTGGTGCAGCCGGTCCGTCGGCAGCGGAACAGACATGAAGCCGGCCCTTCCTGCTGTGCCCTGGGTGTGGACCCCTCATTCCTATAAGTCCTAGGCTGTCGAATGTATTCCTGATTATGCTCAGATTTCCTTTTGATACACTTCGAGCGAGTGTGGTGGCCTCTGCGGTGGTAGTTCTCTCGGAGAGACGTGAGCATGGGCTGTGGGCTCTGCCAGGGCGGCACTGTCGGCTGTGTTTCTAGTTTTCTGATGTTCCGCTCCCTGAGGGGAATGTACGATATTGATGTTGGTGGTCAGACAGAGTGGCATTTGTTCACACTTGGGTCATCAGGCTCATGCTGTAAAAATACGTAGAAATGTGTGCATCTCTGGCAGACGTTTCTGCATGTATCGTGATTTATGAGAAACTAGCAAATGAGCGCTGGGTGCCTTCCCTGGCACCTCCTCCTGTTAGCGTAACCTCTCCTTTGTAAACAGACAGCTCCTACCCCCTCCCCCCCACCTTGTGAGACCACCGCCGAGAGAACCCCTTTCACGTGTATGTAGAACAGGTGTACATCCTGTTCAGTAGCTTGGTGTGAGTAATTTTATGTAAGAATTCAAAACAAATATTTGCATGTATCTATATAACCTGCCTACATTATTCTTTGGCAACAGGAGGAGGCGAGGTGGCAGAGTTTAATATGCAGAGAATTTTGAAAAAAAAACTTTAAGACTTGCCACTTTTAATATTAAGACTTTGCTAATATTGGTTACTTAGTGAACAGGGAGGGACCTGAAGCGGATTTTTAGCTGGGGACAGGAATTGCAGTAGCAGAAAGTTCAGGTCCTAGTTTCAGCGTTTGATACTGTGTAATATAATTTTGCTTTAGAAGAATTAGGCTTTAGAAGGCTGCTTCCAGTTGTATTAAACTTCTTTTGTTTGTTTTCAATTTTATTTATTTTTGGCTGCATTGGGTCTTCGTTGCTGCACGCGGGCTTTCTCTAGTTGCGGCAAGCGGGGGCTACTCCTGTTGCGGTGCGTGGGCTTCTCATTGCAGTGGCTTCTCTTGTTGCGGAGCACGGCTCTAGGCGCGCGGGCTTCAGTAGTTGTGGTTCGCAGGCTCCATAGTTGTGGAGCGCAGGCTCAGTAGCTGTGGCACCGTGGCTCACAGGCTCTAGAGCGCAGGCTCCGTAGTTGTGGAGCACGGGCTCAGTAGTTGTGGCTCGCAGGCTCTAGAGCGCAGGCTCGGTAGTTGTGGCGCATGGGCTTAGTTGCTCCACGGCACGTGGGATCTTCCCGGACCAGGGATCAAACCCACGTCCCCTGCACTGGCAGGCATATTCCTAACCGCTAGGCCACGAGGGAAGTCCCCAGTTGTATTAAACTTTGAGTCCTGTTTCCATTTGTTAATATTATTACTTTAATTCTGCGCTAATTGGATGAGATTTCATCCAACTTTTACCCAAGGAAATGAGACACATATCTCACTGTTGTATCTCCACCTGTATCGTGAGGCAAACAGAGGTCCTGTCTTCATGGCAGATACCTTCCCCCTCCTGGAATTCTTGCAATAACAGGATATTTTATTATACTTTTTCTCTTTTTTTTGGTAATATTATGTAGAAAAGGATAAACTTGGTAAACTGAGTGGCCAGACATAGCATGAAGACAGATGAGTGCTGGGATTTCCCTGGTGGGCCAGTGGGTAAGACTCCGTGCTCCCAATGCAGGGGTCCAGGGTTCGATCCCTGGTCGGGGAAGTAGTTCCCGCACGCCACAACTAAGAATTCACATGCCGCAACAAAGATCCTGCGTTTCGCAACTTAAACCCAGTGCAGTCAAAATAAATAAATATTTAAAAAATAAATAAAGAAGACAGATGAGTGCTAATTACTTGGTGGATATTTATGACCTTTGAGGTAGGTGCGTTTTCATTCACATCGGAGAAAACTGGCATGTCTGTCAATTTAATTTTGAGGACAGTAATTTCATATTTGATTTGAAACTTAGGATCGAGCCCAGTTTGTTCTCTCTCTGAGTACACCCGTCTGTTACGTATTGGTTACTTCCCTTCTCTCCCTCTGGAATGCCCGACATAGGCCATGGCCCAGAAGGAAGACATGGAAGAGAGGGTCACGACTCTGGAGAAACGCTACCTCGCGGCACAGCGTGAAGCCACCTCCGTGCACGACCTCAACGATAAACTGGAAAATGAAATTGCAAATAAGGAGTCTGTGCATCGACAGGTAGTGGTTTTTATCGAATTTTGTCTGGCTTTTATTAATTACTTACTAATGAAGGGGGGAAGACCTTTTCCTGTGACTTCCATGTTGGAAATCAAGTCCCAGGGTAAAGTTTTTGTGATCTTAGAGTATTATGTTCAGAAGTGTGGTGTACATTGTAGATCAACTGTACTAGCATAAAATAAATTTAAAAAAAACTGTGGGTGACTGCAATTTACAGGTTTTCATTTTTTAGGATTTGGTTCAACCATTTTGTGGAGCTGCACTCCTGACTCTTGTTGCTTGTTAGCATTTTTACCAAAAGAGCAGAGAGTGGCAAAGAACTTCAAGGCTGCCTGTTGGTAACTGGGGTCAGCGTGGTAAATGGCAGATCGAGAGACGCAGTCCGAGTAGTAAGGTCTGTGCCTCCTGTGGTTCGGTCTGCCTCACTTGCTCCTGTTTCTGTGTGGTCTCAGATAACCAAGAGTTAACTAGGGAAACCAAACCTGGCTTCTGGAAAACAAAGTGAGTTTGTCTGGTGTGTTATAAAGTGTATCATTGGCCCCAAAATAAAAATAAAATACTAGAAAGCCATTAAAACTTATGGTGTGGAATGCTAATTAAGAGCATTAAAATGTTCCAAATAACGACTTTAACAGGCAGATCAGAAAATACTACGTACCATGCGCTGTTATTTTCTGAGGGTTTTGAAGCATAATCTGTTGTTTGTATATGTACGTAGAGATATATGCACACAGAAAAAAGAAGAAAGCTGCATAGAAACAAGCGTTAACCTCTCAGGAACTAAGCTTACAGATGATTTAACATTTTACCTTTTTTAAAGAAAGAAAAATCTGTCTAAATTTTCTACATTGAAAATTTTTCAGAGTAAGAGGATTTTCTAAAAGAATGACCCTACGTTTACAAAGCTAAACCTTGACCAGTATTCCCTTAGGCACACTCTTAGCGGGTCTGGATTTCAAAGGAGATGAGCGCTGTGTTTTGGCTTACATGCCCGCGGCAGCCTGTTGAGTAGGGTTCTCTCCAAATGCTGATTCTGATGGTGTTTTAAGAAGGGTTAGTACTGAGCCCTTCTTTCCTTAACCTGTCAATAAGAATAAATAAGCTCCTACAGAAAACGGGTTTGCTTTCATGTATAGGAACGTGTGTGTGTGTGTGTGTGTGTGTGTGTGTGTGTGTTTTAAGACTTCTTTGGAGGCATTTAGGAAGAGCAGATACTTTGGCAAGAGGTTTTGCACGTTGAAATCAAGCCCAAGAAAGTGGGTGTGCGCTCTTCACAGAAAGAAAAAATTCACTGGGAGGCAGCTGGCAAAACAGCTGTGCCTCCATCAGAACTGATTTAGTAGACGATTAAAAACGGAAATGGCTGAACCATTCGCCCGTGTTGACGCTTTGCTCTCATTTTGCAGACTGAGGATAAAAACCGCCAGTTGCAAGAGCGCCTGGAGCTGGCGGAGCAGAAGCTGCAGCAGACCCTGCGGAGAGCGGAGACCCTCCCCGAGGTGGAGGCGGAGCTGGCCCAGCGGGTGGCCGCGCTCTCCAAGGTGCTGCCCTGGGCCTCCTTGCGGGGCAGACACCTGAGTTGGGTGTTGAGGGTGATTTGTTCATGTGCCTTATCGTTGTGGTCTTGTCAGCGCCCCTAAATCCACCAAGCAGCTCAGATTTGTTTTCAGTGCTGTACTGTCTGAGACTGGAGCAAGTTTGAGTGTCAGACATTATCCCTGCTTTTGTGTCATCCCCACATTCTTTTCCCTCCAGTTTTGTCAGATGTGTTCTGTGTGTCCCCAGGGTGCTTCAGCTCAGAGTCACTGCTGCGTGGAGCTACTTAAGTCAGCAGCTCCAAGGTTAGGGTAGAAGGTTTGTGGCAGAGCGGGGTAGTTTTTCTCAGAAGTAGGAAAATCCCATTCTCTGTCGAAGACCGCCAAAGTAACTTCGTAATAAACAAGTTTTTGAGTCTTTATTCATTCACTGGTTCAACAAATCATGGTGGGGCATGTGCCAGGCCCGGTCCCTGCCCTCACAGCCTCACCGTCCCCGGACAGCCGGCAGGTGAGAGGGGGGTGTCCCGGTGACACAGCGGCGCTGGGGGTGGCTCGTCCACACGGCGGGGAGGAAGCGCACAACCAGCCACCGGCCCAGTCTTTCAGGCATATGGTCCTGCACTGCCAGTAGGTGCTGGCCAGGCCCAGAGAAGCGGGCCCTGGCCTGTGCTGGTGCATCCGTCAGGAGTTCTGTGTTGCCTGCCTGGAGCTTAGTGAGCTGCTGAGGGGGCCGGACAGACCCGGGGTGGGCACATGGCGTCAGGTGCTCGCAGACCTTCCTTAGAGCAAGTTCATTGCTAACAGCTGTAACAGAAGCGCTCCTTTTCCTTCGTGATCTGCATTTAAAGTCTCGGTTTCTTTTCTCCCCTGTCGTCTCTCCTGTCCCTGGTCGGCCTTGTAGTCTGACCTTTTGTCTGCTGGAAACTCTGCCACTAAGGAAGCTAAACTGTTCGAACTTACCTCCCAGCTTAGGAAGGTAGAACGTGTACATCGCTCTTGGCTGTGCTTGCCGCTTCCTGCTTCCCGTGCTGACTCACCCAGAGCAGTCTGAGGCTGGGGCCAAAACACAGCCCACGGGTGTGGGACCTGGGGTGGGGGGAGCACATCTTCTCTCACAAGTCGATCGCCAGCGCCCGTCACGCCTCAGTCACCTGCCCGAGAGGGTGAATTGCCTCCCGGGGTCACGCATGGGGCCACGCAGGACGTGCGAGCAGGCGTCAGCGCGTGCCTTCCGCTGAGCACGGGGCGCGTAGTCCACGCACAGCACGTCCTGCTTGTGGCTGCTGCAGTCGTACCCCGCGTGTTGTCAGGAAAGGGCAACTATGAGCTGAACTGACACCATTCTTTGCTGGCAGGCCGAAGAGAGACACGGCAACATCGAGGAGAGGCTGCGCCAGATGGAGGCACAGTTGGAGGAGAAGCACCAGGAGCTGCAGCGGGTACGTGTCCGGGCAGAGAGGCCGAGCGCCGGGCCGGGCCTGGGGGCTGCTCCCCACCCCCCACCGCCGTGTGCACTCAGTGTGCGGCCTCATCTGCGCGCTGTCTACTGACTGGCGCACCCACCACATGCTTGCCCGCAGGCGGTGTGTGGGGGAGGAGGCCGCCTGCCGCTCTGACCAGCCTGTTGCGGGAGCTGCTCCAGGTACAGGTGGGACCTTACGGGCCCCCCTCAAAACAAGCCTGAGGTGCCAGCCCGGGGTGCCCATGACACTTAAGGCACAGCGCCCTAGGCGTTGGGTCTGCTTGCCTGGGGTGTGGCACTGGAGTCCCAGATTCCGGTCACAGGCCTGATCGCTGTCCTGAACCCCGAAGTATTGTTCCAGACACAAAGGTAGACGTAGGGATGGCCGTTCCTGAGCAGGAGGAAAACTCCTGTGCTCGGAGATGGGATAAAAAGGAGCATCGGGAAAGCGTGGTGGTGGAGGCTCACATCAGCTGAGTCCTGAGAGAGCTTTCCTGGAAGATTTGGTCACACGGCGAGATGGAACCTCCAGGAAATAGAGCGAGTGGTGGCCCCAGGTCCAGGCGTGCGACATCAGTACTGTCACCACCAGAAAGCGGCGTTCCTAGGCCTGGACTGCAGAGCAGCAAACGTGAGCTTCCAGGAAGGAAAGCGTCTGCCTCCCGTCAAGAGATCCGCATGCCAGGCGCCCCTGCCCCCCACACAGGCACGCGCCCTCCCCTCTTAGGCAGAGAATTCGACTCTCACCGCTTGAGGGGTGCACTTCATTACTTCCAGAGCTCGTTGCAATAGGGATGCAGTTTATGACTAAGGCAATTCAAAGCAAACTTTTAAGTGGTTTTGCTTTAAAAATATTTGAGGGACTTCCCTGGTGGCGCAGTGCTTAAGAACCCACCTGCCAGTGCAGGGGACGTGGGTTTGAGCCCTGGTCCGGGAAGATCCCACATGCCGCGGAGCAGCTAAGCCCTTGCGCTACAACTACCGAGCCTGTGCTCTAGAGCCCGCGAGCCACAACTACTGAAGCCTGCGCTCCGCAACAAGAGGAGTCCCCGCTCGCCGTAGCTAGAGAAAGCCCACGTGCAGCAACAAAGACCCAACACAGCCAAAAATAAATTATTTATTTATTTTTTAAATTTGAATGCTGACAGCCTTATCATACGGTGAGCTGGGTCTCTTCCAGATGATGGTGGTTGCTGTGTTTTGGGCGTGATTCTGAGCGCTTTGTATTTAGTGTTTCCAACAACCTAGGAGAAAAGGGAGACCCGCCGAGGGCACCTGCCCTTACGTGTGCTGCCTGTCAGCACTTTCTGTCCCCTCCACTTTTCTTCTGTGTTCATTCAGGGTGTGGGGTGAAAACAAGCTTTTGAAACCATGAAGTTGATGCTAGTTTTATAGAACACAGACTTACCAATTTTATTACATTTAAAAATTACTTGCGGTAATTATTTCTAGTTTTTTAGTATAAATTATCATTACAAAGAATTCAGGTGATGTTAAGAGTATAAAGAAAAACATGTGAAAGTCTGTCTCCACTGTTTTTGTTCCCAAAATGACATTTTTTACCTTTTGCTTTATAAGTTGAATTCATTTTACCCCCTTAATCCAGATTCGAGCTTCTGTTTACATGCTGGGAAGTTCCCCCTCCAGTGTGTGTGTAAGCTGATCCCCTTTAAAATATGCTTGTTTTCTGCGTGTAAATCTGCTCCTTGAGTCCATCAGACAGTTAATGGCTGGTGACACTAATGAGGCCCCCTGGGCGCTTTGTTGAACAGAAGCAGTGGGAGGGGCCTTTCTCTGCACCTGCAGTCAGCTCTGGTGATCCAGCCGGTTCTGGTGACGGTGCAGAGTCCACCGGAGGTGGCAGTGGGAGGGGCAGCCTGGGGAGCCAGGGCATAGGCCAGTCGCGTCGTCGCTCCTTGGCGCTTTTAAAATAATGACCATACTTGTTCTTGAAGTTTATAAGTTTTTGTTTTTCCTATTTTAGGCAAGGCAGAGAGAAAAAATGAACGAAGAACACAATAAACGTTTATCAGACACTGTTGACAAGCTTCTTTCAGAATCTAACGAGAGGCTTCAGCTTCATCTTAAAGAGAGAATGGCAGCTCTGGAAGATAAGGTGCGCTAGCGCAACGTCCCTGAAGGCCCCTTTGCAAAAGGGGCGTCAGGGGTTACGTCCTTGCCCAGGCTGTGCGTATGGGACATTGCCTATCATTCTTACTCTCCAGAACAAGAGTTGGAGAACTGTTTCCATAGCAGGCCAACCGCGTAGTAGATATCTTAGGCGTTTAACAGTTGTGAGTAATTGAGGAGAAGAAGTTCATGCTGATCAGTTAAGTAGCATGAAAGCAGCCACAGGCAATCCGTAAAGGAATGGCCGTGGTTGTGTGCCACTGACGGGCCGAGTTTATCAGCCCCCGCGCCAGAATTTTCTAGGTCCACCCTCACCCCTTCATTGCTCTTGCATTAGAGGTTTATTTCTGTCTCGTGTGTGTGATGTAATATAAAAGATTTAACCATCTAAAAACAAGCGTTCTCATATTCCAACTCCAGCCTTCTCTCTTTTCATTTGGTTTGGAAAATGTCTTAAGCCTGGACTCTTGCCTACTCTCATCATGGAACTACTTTAGCTGTAACCAGAGTAAAGGAGTAGCCGAGAATCTATGTCAGAGAAGCTCTGATGGGCGACACTTTGGTTCAGGTTTGATAAAAAACCTGTCCCGACTGCACCAGCGCCCTACAGATGAGGCCCAAGAATTTTCCCTGAGATTGGCACCTGGGATGATGCTTGTTTGGGAGAGACCAGTGGTTACCAGTGATTATGTGGTACATTTTATTTTACACAAAACCCATGATGAAGTGCATTACTAGAGACCACATAGGGCAGTTACCTCACTTCCTCCCTGATCTGCGGGCCGGCCTTAAGGTAGGAATATTTTTGTCTCAGATTTGAATTTTGCATGTGAAACTTGTGCCGGTTTCCCGAGTGACCACTGAACTGCAAAAGCTGAAAGCCGGTATAAACCAGTTTAACTTACCCCATGAACTTGACCTCCTTACATCTAGAAAATCAGTCGGTGAAGAAGGAAATTTTATGTGTACAGGTTATGATGAAAAGGTGTCATCTGGCCTCGTGGCTCGCATTTTACCCTGGGAGTGTGATCTGCCCGTTAGTATGTTCACGTGGCCCGTTCCTTCCCGCGGTGCTTTACTGTTTCAGACAGAACTGTAGCCGTCCTGTAGTACGTGGAACATTTTTAAGAATTAACACTAAAAGGCTATTTATATCTTTTTCAGAATTCCCTCCTACGAGAAGTTGAAAATGCAAAAAAGCAATTAGAAGAAATGCAACATGATAAGGTGCTTCAATCTCTAGATTGTTTAGGAATCTGTTAAGAGCTGAATTGAGCTGGGCTCATTGTTATTATAATTATTACAGCTGTTTAGCAGAAGTTGAGTTACATTTTCTTTATGGCTAAGTCCACTGCTATAACATATATAGCACTCCGGGATTTGTATGTTGAAGGCGTTTGCATTTTAGATGGATTTAGAGTCCAGCAGGTGTGTGTGGTTCAGAATTCTGAGTCCTTTCTGGGTTCATTTGAAAGCTGAAACAAAGCAGGAGCCTTTCATCTGGAACAGTGCCGTCCATCAGAAAGATAATAAGAGCCACATGTGTAATCTAACATTTCCTAGTAGCCACATTTAAAACGGTAAAAAGAAACAGGTGAAGTTAATTTTATTGTATTCTACCCTATGTAATCAGAATGTTATCTTATCGTATAATTGCTCTAAAAACGAATGAGCTACTTTACGTTCTTCTCTCCACCTGAGTCTTTGAAACCTGCGGTGTGGTTTCTGGCCACAGCACTTGGCGCCTTGGGGTGGCCCGTCTCAGGCGCTCAGTAGCCACAGGAGGTGCGTGGCAGCTGTGGCCCACAGCACAGAGCAGGAAGGCTGTCCATTGACTCAGAAACTCTGGCAGTCTGCCTTGTCGCTTTGCCCTGTGAGGAAGTGACGCTGGGAGTAGAGATGGCACATGAGTGGGTGTGTGCTTGGTGTAGACAGCTAAAAGCAATGCAGAGGAGCGAGTGCGATGGAGAGTGAATCCTGCGTGTGTGTCCCCCACCCCTGCCCCAAGTACAGCTTGTCTCAGAATTCGTTATTGTTAATGGCTTGGCGTTTCTCTTCTGAGAGCTTTTCTACGACCAAGATGTAACTTTTTGTTCACTGCAGTTTATAAAGTTAATACTGGTCTGAGCGTTTATGTTTGCTATAGGACTCTTGGAGAACATTTTCTCAGAATTAAAATGTTTGGATTTTATAACTGCTAATGTAACCTGTTATGGTTTTGTTCAGCATTTGAGCACATTTTGATGCAAGTGATTTTATATCCTGAAAGCAACACGTGTTACGTCATTTGCTGTTTTGTAGGATCAGCTCGTACTAACCCTGGAAGCCTTGAGAGCTGAACTGGACCAGACGGGGCTGAGAGGGGCTCCCCTACACCACAGGTAGGACGTTCCTCAGGTCACAGCTCTGCTCAGCACTGTCGTGTGTATACAAGGGCGTGTCACGGCTGTGTGGACAGTGTGACTGGGTGGGTATAGCTCGTGGTCGCGCCTCCAGGAGCCTGTAGCTTAGTGGCAGGCTAGAGGGAAGAGTAGAGCATCATTCCTAAGGTTAGAACTCGGTACCTAGGAGAGTGGCATTCACATTACTGACAAGACTCAAAACCACAGGGGGCGGTTTGGAAGGAGGGTGGTGGCTCGTTAATATTTGGGTGTATTCATTTGAGGGACCTGACAGACTGTGACACTGATGTTTCTTAAGAATCGCAGAAGGTTAGTGACTTGCAGTCATTTTAAAATTTATGGAGACATGACTTGGCGTTGGCTGCCGTGGGAGGAACCACCTGGCTTGTGAATGAGTTGAGCAAATGACTCAGCATCCTGATTTTCTTCTTACTTGTCATTATAGGGGCAATAATTCTTTTTAAGCTATTTAAATTTTTCTTTGCTTTCTTTGTGGAAAATGATCATCAAGTGAGAGTTAAACTTTAGCAAAAGTTATTGAAGAGCTTAACTGGTGACATTCATTCATCTGTAGGAAAGAGACTCCTGCTTGAATCGTGATTCAGGAGACAGCTCGGAGCCTATACAGATACTGCAGCGTTTGCAAACGTAGGGGACCGTCAGGGTCTAGGGTCCTTGCTGAACCTCCTAGAAAAAAAGAGAAATCAAGGAAGATAGAGGCAGAGCCAGAAACTTTCCCTGTCTCCAGAACCACCGGGGGGTAGAATTTCAAGGAGAGTGTGTGTGCTTACGGGCGGGGGGGGTGGGGGGGGGGGGTGGAGGGAGATCGGGACCGCGGCATCGCTGGACTTGCTGGCTAAGGTCCTCTAGGGTGAGGTCGGAGGTGGAGGCAGAGCCCTGCTCACGGGGTAGATGAGGCGCGTGTGAGGACGGTGCGGGTACCTGGAGGAGGAGGTGGACACAGCCTGTTACTCTTTTGGGAGTTTGAGTGATGAAGGGGGCGCGGGTGCCAGAAGCGAAGGGCTGGCACGGTTGCGGGCGTTTTCAGTGGAAAAGCCTTGGGCATGGTCACCAGAGCCATGTGTGACAGTGAAAGTCAAGGACGAGGAAGCAGCTCTTGCTCTGATGGCGCAGGGGGGCGGGAG